CTGCTCCTCCACTTCATAGCCTATTAGACACTAAACCTTGAATTGCAGCTGGCAGAAATTAAACATTCTCACTTCAGAGCCCCTTTCCTGATCCTCTCTATTCATCAACTTTATTTTCGTAGCTATTTATAGACCTGGCTGATGTTGCAGTTCCAGATATGCGAATGCAAATTGTGTCATCTTAAGAGACTTACGTTGGCAAATCATTGTACCACACTTAAATTTCAAAAGGCCCCAAAGAGCCATATAATTAAAAATTACCAGTAATATAGGCAAAGATAGAAAACAGTAGTTGTTGTGGATCAGAAAAGTGACTTTTTAATTAATGTGAAGAGAGAATTATTGATGAAAGATATGACTGGCTTTTTTTGTGTGAAGAATTCATCCTCCTATGAATCGCTGAGTGGATATTTGCAACACAAATCAGAGACTTCAGACCACTCACTCTCTGGCAAAGTAGTACTGAGAGGAATGGCACCAGCAGTGTCATGTAGTCTTAACTTCTTCATGCTGTCCAGCTACTTAGGGAAAATTAGAAAGGGTATGCTCAATAGCATGTCATATCCCCTTTTCCAGACGTTCCCCCCCGCCTCCCTTCTATATTTCTAGTTAACATACTTGTTAGTCACGCTTCTTTTTTTAAATTATGAGGAAGTCTGCACAACCATGTAAAATTATGGATTATTAAACACTGGAATAGGTGACACCATATTACAGTGCACTGATAGAGGGAAGAGCCTTAAAACCACAAGTCCACAAATTTTTTTATTAAAATAACACCAAGTTTAAGAAATCAATGCAGTGCAAAGAAACTTCAATTTATCATACAAAAAAAAAAAATGATTTTCCATCTTTAAGTATGGAAACTGCATTCCAATCATGACATGATTGACATAATACAGAAACAGAAACACTATCCCAGGTGAATGTCGAAGTTAAAGGCTGGCATGCTGGGCAAGGAAGGTTCTTATTCTTTGCAAGAGTTCTTTCTTTACACTGTCTGGTACCAAGGCTAAAACACAAATGAAAGCAAGAAGTAAAAAAGACAAAATGGAAAATTTTATTTTTACAACAGCTACTTCTATTCTTTGTTTGTTCTTGCAATGCTGTAAATACCCAAAATAACAGAAGCGACTTGATTTTCATATAGCATATTTCTCCCTTTTAAAATAGGCTAAAATTGAAGTCTATTGAGAACACTGTCGTTATTGGTAGGTTTTTTTGCCTAGCCGTAGTCAAGAAAATTGGAAAGTTTGAGGGAAAGGATTATTCAACAGTGAACAGAATATAATCATCAGAAACTAGTTTGATAATCCTATTTTTTCTTCACAAATTTAAGACAAAAAAATAATCTCAGCCATGACTTCAGAGCAGGAGTCTTCAGCAAGTTATTTTGAAAGCTTATTTTTATTTAAGACTTAATGAAGTTTCTCCCACTAACAGCAAAGCCTATTAGAGAGTCCAAGAAGGACTATATAAAGACTGCAGTATTTCCTTAAGAGATTCCATTTTTCCGTATCTGTATGCTATGTCCTTTCCTTTTCCCACTTCCCATTGCACTAGTACTGCTAGTTCGGATTTTCCATCTTGAAAAGAACTGGAATTTTAAAACATCTCTGCCTCATACCCCAAGTTTTCTTGGGACCATTAAGTGAATTATAATGATGAATACAGACTCTTGACTAAATAATGTAACCTGCAAAAGTAGTTTACACACACAGCTCATTACAGATTTTGAATGGCTGTTACACAATACAAATCCATGTTTTATTTGTAGTTAATATCAAGCTATTAACATTTTTCCTTGAAGCCATTAACAACTTTCCTTGAATCCAAGACAGGCAAGTTAATAGTGCTGCTTTCAAAATTTCAATGAAATGCAGGTAGGTAGGTTTACTAATGTACTACCACATCCATGTTTGCATTTTCTTACCTCTGCCTTTGGGAGTGATTTCTGCCACCAAATCGTCAACAGTAACATGCTCTAATCCTTTTTCTTTAATGACATCTGGGGAAGACAAAGACAGGTATTTTTTAGGTCTTTTAATCCATTCATTAGAAGACAAAACTTGTGCCAATGATCAAGAGACAAAACCTGCATGCATAGGTCATCAGAGAAAATGAAGTAGCTTGTGACCTAGATGTAGGTTATGAACTCAGTACCTACACTGCACTGTACAGTGGATTTAGTCTCTCATTCATACCATAGGTTTAAGGATGGGAACTTGTCACTACTGATCCATCTTGATCAGCTCATATTTTAGAATCAAATGTTACCAAGTTTAAGCTTATCTGAACATTACCAGATGTGCATATTACTGGAGTGTGGCAGCGATTCATAAATTGGTTTGCTTATCTTTTCAAACACATTATTTACATAATAGTGAGAAAGAGGTGCAATTGGAAAAAAGCTTTGGAATATACAAGGGAGACCAGAGAGACAATAAATGCTTACTACTCTTCCTAACTGGTTTAAACAGTATATATCTATATATTTCAGCAAAGTAAGAAAGCATATCTAAAAGAATCATAGAATAGAATCATAGAATCACTTTGGTTGGGAAAGACCTTTAAGATCATCGAGTCCAACCTTTAACCTAACTCTGCCATCCCACCACTAAACCATGTCCCTAAGCACCTCATCTATCCTTCTTTTAAATACCTCCAGGGATGAGGACTCTACCACCTCCC